ATATTATAATTATTTTTTTACAAATAAAGATAAATAAATAAACATATTAAATAATATTTTAAAAAAATAAATAATTAAATTTAAATGCTCAAATAGAAAAATTATATCTTTTAACATTAAATCAAAGTAATATATATAAGTTATAATCTATATATACATAATTTTATATATATTTCTAATAGTTTATCTTTTCACTTTAAAAAATTGATATTTTTTCACTTTTTATCTTATTTTTTAAAGATAAATATATTTTTATTTAAAACTCATTTTAAATTTTAATAATTTATAATAAAAAAATAAATTATTAAAATTTTATATAAATAATATATAAATTATGTGTGTAAGTAAATCTTAATTACTTTTTTAAAAAAATAACTATTTATTTTTTAGTTTTAATTGAAAAATTAAAAATAATTTATATATTTATTTATATTTATTTTTAAAAAATAATAAATTAAGAAAGATTTAATTTATAAATTAATTATTTTAAATATATTATTAATAAATTTATTATAAACAAAAAACTTATAATTTATGAAATCTTGACATTTTAAGTTGGGACCATAATTACAGCTGTTATTGTTAGGCAATTTACCAATGTCCGAGGAAGAGATTATGGGATTTTGGGAATCCAATGATTGAAATGTCTTGTGAGAGAGGAACAACATGACACCGCTTCAATGTCCCGTGTCATACTCCCCCACTTTGATGGGATCGACACGTGGTCTGAAGCACATGCTTACCCACGTGAACACCGACCCCATTTTTCCCTTTCCCTTTCCCTTTGATTTCCCATTCCTTGTCGCGTCACCTCGCAGTCTCGCCATCCTTATCTCCTTTTTTTTTTTTTTTTTTTTTAACATTTTAATATTCAGTAATTTAAAATTAAATTACATTAAATTTTATTAAAAAAAAACTCCTTTAACATTTATTTTTCATTCATAAAATTTAAATTTAAAATTTTATTTTAAAAAAAATCAAATTTCCCTCATTTAAATCAATAAATTACTGGCACCCTCGTTATCAATGCTATTATAAACCTTTGTCTACGACTTGGGTCCAATCCCGATTTTTCTATTCATTTTCATTTCACACGATATTATTCTGGTTGGGGCCTTGAGGCAAAGATTGTGGGATGATATTAAATTATGAATTTATATAAAATTAATAATTATTTTTATAAAAAAAATTATAATGATTAAAAAACTAGTTTCTGTAAATTAACAACAAATAATTGGATCAAAGATACTCCTGTTTACGGTTTTTGTAAAAGAATGTCCATAAGATCATTAATCATATGATAAAAATTTTCTTACATCTTATATTATGTTTTTAAATAATTTTATATCCAAATTGTAGACATTTTAATTATGCTCCTACTTTATATGAATCAATGCGTTGGATTTAATAATTTGTTCTTAAATCATAATATTTAAATAAAATTGATCAAAAATTTAAATTTCATTAACTATTTGAATATCTAAATTAGACTTATTGGGTTATAAATGCTTCTCCCAATCCATGAGCTGAGCCATTTCCTTTTCCCATCCTCTTATGATTGCCCTCTTTCAAAAAAACATTAAAAAAAAAAAAAATTCAAAACTATACACAAAAATAGAAGGGGGGGATATATTTTTAAAAAATAAAATTTATATTATATTTTATATATTCAATTATTGTGATTAAATATTTTAATATTTTTAATATTAAAATATTTTAATAATATTATTATTATTATTAATATAAATTTCTTGTCCTTCACGCGAGGCGTCTCTGCACATGATGATTAAGGAAAAAATGAAAATTAAGATTCGAAGATATTTAATAGCATTTATATAATATAATTTAAAAAAAATAAAATTTATGTTATATTTTATATATTCAATTATTGTGATTAAATATTTTAATATTTTTAATATTAAAATATTTTATTTTTATTATTATTATTATTATTGTTAATATATATTTTAAAGTTTTTTTCTTTTTTTCTATGAATAGACGAACTTGGTATTTCCAAAAATTAATAAATTAACAATTTACAATGAAAAAATAAGTTGGGACTTGAGATTAACAAGAGTATATAGGTAGACATACGAAACCCCCAAAGCATCTCTAATCATTTGCTTTGAAGCCTCAATCGAAATTACACTCCCTGAAGAGAAGGATTATTTGTTGATTCCGCACCGCCAGCTGGTGATTTATTGCACGTCCCACGCTAAATTATTGGAGGATTTTAATTTCTTTAAGTACCATTTAATAATACATTAATTATATTTTTTTAATTTAAGTTAAATAAATTTTATTGTTTTCTATTTGATATTTTAAGCTTCGGGCTTCGAAGTTTAAATGGATTGTTTCTCATGGACGTGTACTTTTTCATTTTCTATCCGCATTCTATATTATAGGCAATAGAGACAAGAATAAAACTATTATATTACAAAAGAAAATTAATTACCAACCATTAATTTTTTTTTGATAAATTAAAAGTTAATTGTTTGTCAATGTAAAAATTTAAACTCTTAATTTTAACATCAAATTAAGGTTTTTAAAATTAATGGACACTTGGTCAAGCTCTTCATGGTTACACATCACCCAATGAAAACCAAGGAAGCAGCCATTTCACACCCACTTAGAATGCTAAATAAGTCGTCAAAGATAAAAAGCAGGTCTTCCACATGATAAAGCCTGACGGCTTGACGCCTACCAACAACCATTCCACTTTACAGAATAGTTAAGTTGCTTGTGTTCGTCAATTTGTTTTGCTTTGTGAATCTTTTGCAAAGGTGATAATTAGAATACAAGATTTCCTTCCTTAAGGGAGATAGAACAGGGATTAAAAAAAAAACCTAGAGATTAAAACCTGGGGCACCAACGTCCGTCCATGGAGAAAAAAGCAACCTAACCACATGAAACACATTCGAGCCTACTGTGCTAAAAGTAATGCATCACATGCAGAAAAGGAAGTAGCTCAGCTTTATAATCCTTGTGAGGAGTGGGATGAGAAGAATGCTAAGTCATTAGCTTGGCAATGCCCCAAAAGAATATGCCCTGCATTCACATAAATAAATTTTTTAAAAGTGTCTGGTTAAGGTGATACTTCAAGTGCCAAAATTGAAGTTTTAAGGTACTTTATCCAGCTAAACCATTAGTTATAAGACAATACTTACCCTGTTTGTTCAGTAACAGCTTGTTCTTGTATCAACTGAGAATATATGTATTCATCAACCCTCTGCTTGGCTAATGCAACCTAGTAAGCATAAGGAGAACATAAGAAATTAATATTGCACTACAATCGAACTTTTATATGAAACAATAAGACTAAAATATTTTATTGTGTTAAGTTAAACAAAAAAATACCTGCTGAGCACTGCCACCAAACTGGATATGCCTGTGTTTTTGTTCACCTTTCCCACCATAAACCTGTAAAATCAGAAACAGAAGCCCAGGCAAGTTAATCTGATCAGAAGCCAAGACTTTCTGTATGAGTTGTACTACTGTACATAATTTGAGAGCATAACTCTGTATTCTGTAACATAAAGCTTTCAAACAGTAGCAAGATTTAATTTGCCCATAAAACAATTGGAGATCAACTTACCTTTATCATCGCCCCAGACTCACTTCTGATCCTTGAAATATTGGAGCCACACCTGCCGATTAATCCACCGACCATTGTTTCCGAGATCATCATCGTGAATGTAACATAGTCAGCTGCAAGATTGGTTGTCCTAAAGATGATGTGGTTATAAGAAAAAAAAAATTATTAAAACTTGATATAGCCACACGTGTAGCAGTTGAAAAGACTAGCTTCAATAAGAAATATTGAATAACCTGAAGTTGGATCCATATATGGCTGAGCTGGCTGAATCAAGCTATAATTGTATGCTGGACTTATTGAGATCACTTGCCGAGGCGGGTTTTCCCTAAGCACGGAATCAACAATAAGATAGACATAGCTTCATGAATAATCAATTAATCAATACACAAAGCTCAATGTTATACCTGAGCTGATAACCAATCTCTTTCAGAGCCTTTAAAACAGCAGGAACATCACCAGATATCTGCGTTTAACATGAATGTTAATTATTGCTCATGGAAAATGTAGTTTACAATTATAAGAACAAAAGCAAGGGAAGATCCAATACATAAACAAATATGAAATTCTCTTGAAAAAGGAACAAGATATTTCATAATTTAGAAGGCTTAGCTTCTTCATTATATGTAGAATCTAACCTGCACGACTCTATCTGATTCATACGCAGAAGCACAGAGAGGCAACTGATTCGGGGCAAGAATTGCAATTGTGGCACCAGATGAACTCCTCAATTTCTCAATGTTTTGACCAGACATCCCAATTAGACTGCCTGCTTGGGACCCCGCAATCAAAAGTCTTATAGTATTAGCAGCCACATGTCCTGCACTGACTGCACCCGCTGACTCACCCCCAGCATCATCTTCCTGTTAACAGTAAAGAACCAACAGTCATTCACGATTATGAGAAGCCCCTGAAACCCAATTGGATGCACTAATGACTGATTCTATGAAAATGAATATTAAGCATAAAGAACGATTCTTGATATATGATTCAATGAAGAAATGTGAAATTGAATAATCTGAAACAAAAAGAAATTACCGTTAGGATTATATTAGCTATTTGCTGGAGGGCGTTCTCAGCATCAGAAACCATATTTTCATTATCTTTGGAACTTATGATGATAACACGTTCCTCAAATCTCTGAAAAACATCAAAAATTATACTTATTCAATCACGATCACGTTAAAGACAAAGGACTAACCTTTTTAAGAAAAAAAAAAATCAAAAACCCTAATATCTAATCTCAACTCACAGCAATTGCATCAGCGATCTTGATGGTTGCTTTGGTATCTTCTCGAATCTTCTGGATTCTATGGCCTCCCTTTCCAATGACTTTGCCGATCTGCCTCGAAGGAACCACGATACGGAAAATTACGTCCTGAGCTTTCGCCTGCCGTTTTGGAGCAGATTCTTCAGTCTCTCCCGGGGCTGCGGCATCCCCTTCATCATCGCGGCGGCGCTTGGCAGTTGAGGACAGGTCCGGTTGCCTGGGTGGCTGTGGTGGTTGGGGCGGAGGCGGTGGCTGAATTTGAGGGACGGTGGGTATCATGGAGTTTATGGGAATTTCGCTTTGTTGGGCCATCGTCTGAGCCTGGACTGGAAGTTCTGCTAAACGGAGGGAGAAAGAAAATGGCAATCTATCAGTGTTTATAGGGTTTTTTTTTTTATTATTATTTTTATTTTTTGTAAGTTACAGATGTGCCCCTTATACGGGTATTTCGAGTCGGGTTTTGACCCGTTAGTTTATTAATCACCCGCAAACCTTTTAGGTATATTGCAATAAGGTCCCTAATACAGTAACAAAGGCCAAAAAGGGCCTTGACCTTCTATATTTTCTCATATTTATTCACAATCAAGACCTTCAAAGGGTTGGCCGTTAGGGATGAATTTGAGAAATAAGTGTAGGTAAGGATGTAAACTTTGTAATTTTTTTATTTAAATATGTAAATTTTGTCAATTTTTAATTAAACTAGTAAATTTTTATTTTTTTTAAAGATGCTAATTTTATATTTTTTTAATTTAAAAATTAATTAGATAATGATATTAACATAGTAAATGCAAAATTAGCATCTTTGAATAAAAAAAATATAAAATTAACATTTTTAAATAAAAAATTAAAAATTTAATCCCTTAATTAGAAATTAACAAAATTTATATTCTTAAATAAAAAAGAATTACAAAATTAGCATCCTAATCTTCACTTATTTTATGAGAAACAAGGAGAGTTTTTTTTCTCCCATTGGTTTAAAAGCTTTGAAAAATATATTAAGATGGTTTATTTGTCAATATTCTATTTCTTAACAAAATTTTATATCAGTGATTACATAACACTTTTTAAACAATAAAATACCAATTAGAGAAAATTGTATTTTAATCATCAAATCTCGAGTCACTTATTTTCTTAATTTTTTTCTCATCCTTGAAATTAATAATACTTATTTCAAATGTCTAATAATCAATTTTGATAAATTCAAATATAATTTTTTTGGACCACATAACATTCTACAGTCCTATCATGTCACTTAGATGGAAATTTTTTTAAAAAAATGAGGAAACTTAGATGAATAAACCATTTTGATAATTAATATATTTTAAATTCTTAATCAATTTGAGAGAATAAATTTTTTACACCAAAACAATAATAAGATAATAGTTAATAGACCACACACTAAATGGAACCCATTTTTCTCATTTTCACAATA